CAGAGTTGCAACTAACTGATGTTCTCACTAAAGGGGTGGCAAAGAACAAGCTTGAACATGATCTACGCAAGTTGGGAATGTGTGACATTTACTCCCAACTTGAGGGGGAGTGTTGAAGATTAATCAGTTTTATGATGTTTTTATGAGTAGATGTTTTATGTTAGTTGTTAGATAGGAGGTGGGGACCATAGCAATTATGTGAGTCCAAATTTTATTATGTTTTTGTGTCTTATATATGCTGTTTTATGTCTTGCCGCCTTATAAGGGCATAGTTGTCTTTGTACTGCTTTATTATTTTTAATATAAATAATAAGTGAAGGGGGCGGCCAGATCATTGGTCTCCTTTCTTTTCAACTTCTCTTCTTCTCCTTCTCTCTTTCTTCTTTCTTCAAGAAACTCCTTTTATTTCATATATATATTTTTTTTAATTCAGCAAGCTTTCTACTCTATGGATACTATGGGAGGAAAGAAATCTGAGAATATTTGAAGACTAGAAAAGATGCAAGGAAGAACTGATAGAAAGTATCATGATGAAGGTGGCTTCATGGGTGAAAACACTGAATTTATTTTAAAAATTTACAGTGGGTGATATAATTAGGAATTGGAGGACAGTTGCTTCCTCTTCATCGGTAAAAAAGAAGGTCTTGAAGGATTGGGAGCCCCCTGAACTCAAATTAAACTTTGATGGCAGCAGTTTTGGTAACCCAGGAAGATCTGGAATTGGAGGGGTTATAGGAAATGAAAGAGGAATTGTGTGGGGGCTGTTTTCGGGTCCCATTGGAATTGGAAATTCCACTACAGCTGAACTGAAGGCAATGGTATATGGGATACAAAAAGCTAAGGATCTGGGGGTGGAAAAGCTGGTTGTGGAAGGTGATTCCAAAGTGATCATCAGTTGGTTAAAACAAAATGACAGCACACCCTAGCTATTCAGAAATGACATCAATAAGATTAAAAGCCTATCCAAGGACATGCAGCTATCAATTCAGTGGACCCCTAGAGCAACAAATGGATTTGCAGACCAGCTAGCCAAACAAGGGATAAACAGGGATCACTGTTTCTGGGCTCAGCTGTAAGAATGAAAAATTAATCTAATAGTGGATACATTAAATTGTAGTGGGGTAGCTGAGGCTACTCGTAACCTGTAACCTCTGTAATTTGTCTTTACATTAATGGGATCTCTTTTTATTGATCAAAAAAAAAAAAAAAATCAATAGGTTAGACACTGATGAGATTTCAGACTCTCTAATGTTTCTCACGAACTCCAAATTCCATCCCACCCCATAGGAGGAAGGAGACCCAAAGAAATCAGACACAGGTTACTAAAATAAATATATAACACTTTATGATTCAATACAAGCTTCTTCTGTTTTGCTTTATCAATTTTGTAGGAAGTTTTCGTTAGCTTTTCCTTTGTATCTCCAATTATATTTGTTCTTTGTGACATGGTGGACAGTTTTTTTTTTTGTATCCTGTATTGCTTTTTGGTGATTCTTGGATTTGTATTTGCTCCAAAGTCCTTACAATACTTTATATTTCATCAGGTGGTCTGCAGAATCTGGAGCTTCCAGTGGTGGATCTCCTGAAATACATGAAATGTTAGCAGAATATTTATTTTCTGAATCTCCTGAAATGGTAGGTTTGATGGAAGACCTTCCTCATGAAGTATCAGATTGTTACTACTTCATCATCAAAATTTCCTTCTTAATCATTTGCCTTGTGAGCAAACTGGCCAATATGGGCCCAGGTTGTGGTTCGATTCAACAATGGACCTTATTAGGCTTGCAGAGTGGTTGAGGTTGCCTTCAGGCCTTAAGACCTCTTACTACTTCTAGCCCAGTGATATATGCTTCACTGGCTTCCTGAAATAGCTGGCTTGGAAATCTAGTTACTGCAACCCCAATTCATGTTAAAGGCCAAAAAACTAGGAATTTAGAAATCAATGCAACATTTATGTTCCTTGTAATGTTTTGGAAACTTTTTGTTAGTTCTCTTAACCCAATTATTTATCACATTAGTAATTTGTTTCCATGTAAGTAGGTTAATTTGTTTTTCTGAGCAACTTCATGCTATTTATTGGGGAATATTACTGATGTATATGAGTATTTTAACAATTGGACAAGGCAAGGCGAGACTTGTGTACAATGCCTTGAGGTTCATGCCTGAAAATATAGAAGCACATTCCTTACACCTTGAGATTTCTTTCATGCATATTGTTTTTGATAGTAAGAAATTAAAATTTCATTAAACTGGAGAGAAAAGGATTACAACTTCAGGTGAAGAGCTTTTGCCAACAACACACAACACTATAAACATACCAAAAGTTGATGAAAATATGGATATATATTTCTTAGTTTAAATTTTTAAGGATTTGAATTCTTATCAGAATCTTCCACTGAAGACCACACGTTATCCCAAAGATCTTCCCTACTCATCTTTTTGAAATCTGAAAGGTGTAAAGTCCAGTCAGCCACCAATGTGTGAACCTCTGCTACAAGTTTTCTTCTTTGTTTGTGTTTATCTTCAAAGATACATCTTTTTCTATCTCTCCAAGTGCCCCGACAAACTGCAAATAGAATGATGCTCCATGTTATTTTGGCCCTTTTGCTCCTTTCTAGCTTTGACCAAAGCCAGTGGTCTCCTTAAACTTCCTTTATCTCAAAAATAGGAAAGAAGAAATTCATGATGAAATCTGAAAACCAGCAATGGATGAAAAGTTGATAGGCTTTATTCTTCTTGCACAGAATGTACATGTTTTCCATTTGAAAACGTCACGATTTCAGATGGTTCTGTCAGGTTATTGTCCAAAGCCTTTCATTAGAGATGCCAATGGGTCAGGTCAGCCTTAATTAGGTTCTAGGTTGAGGCACATCTGGCCCTCTGACATTGTAGCATTGAAACACTTTTACATATAACATTAATTGAGTATAGGTTTACTATTTGTGGGGCTGGTCAGACTGTCAGATTGGGTTTGGTTTTCCATTTTATGTAGTTGATTTGGGTTGAAGTGTCTTCAGGTCGGGTTTAGGTTGAGCCAAAGCGTGCTGGACATGACCTGTTGACATCCCTTCCTTTCATGTATATTTATTTATATGTGCTTCTACATATTTAAAGCCATTTGAGGTGCTATTTAACCTTCATGTGGCTTCTTAATAGTTATTAAATTATTTGTAAGTATGTAATATCTTTCTCTAAAGCTCCTAATATTCTCAGCTACTTTGTTTACATGATCATATTCATCTATATGCTTTTTGCATGTAAAAATATACTCTTATGCATTATTGATCAATGAGTCTTAGAGTAGCTTCTTTGTGCCAAAAAAAATGCCAAAGGTTAACTCCCTATCCAGTCCACCCCTCCCAAGTCCCAAGACCCTGGATATCTGGGAGTCTGGGACCAACATTGGCTAATGGCCTTATAAATCTGGATCTGGTCATGATTTTATGATGTTTTCAGTGGCAACTTGTGTAAGGTTTTCTACTGCACAATAAGTGCCTCCATCTCTTTGTTCCACCCCCACCCAAATGAAAAAAAGGATAAGTGCCTCCATCACAACATATGTGGAACAATCTGTGTGGCAGGGCATGTTATTAATTACTTCTGTATGATCAGGAAGGCACTTGTAGTGCCACAGGCTCATAAATGATCTTTACTTATATGCCCCAATATATGACATATTTGGGACTTGGATAGCACAGGTGTCTCTAATGCTTTACACTTGATTTGCACTTATGTTTTATTGGTATATTTAAAACCAACAGACTGCTGCTTTTCAGGACATGGCTAGAGTGTCATTTCATTTTGTCCGAGGAAAATACCCTGAAAAGTTTGCTACATCACTGGTGAATTTTATGGGAAAGGTTAGCCTTCTTTGCTTTCTCTTAGTCCTTATGGTCTTGGATTCTATGATGCACATGATATCAGTTGTACAAGTTTATCCGTTGGGTTTTGTTGGAAATGATTCTAACATAGTTCATATCATGTTATGTATTTCATGTCCTTGACAAACTGTGCTCTCATCTTGACTGAGTTTTTAACATGTTATATGCTTGGATGTCAAGGTCCATTTTGCACAAGGTTTACATATGAAGCAAACTTTAATATACAAAGATAAATTGAATATTTCAGTATCCAACATGCATTATATTCTTGGGATTGCTTTCATTCTTTTTTCCTGTATATTTATTCATTTATTTTCATTTACATTATTTCAGTAAGTAATAAATGTGTATCCTATCATCAAACAGGGAGTGTATGCATGATTGAACATTGCATCTATTTTCACTGCTAAATCTGGTAGTTTTATTTGTTGGTTATATATGGATGGATCAAAATGAGCTTTTGCTAATTTCTCTTTTACATTATAGTGCTATCCAGGTGAAGATGATCTGGCCATTGCACGTGCAGTTCTGATGTAAGGGAACTTGAACTATTGATACTCCTCTGTTGCAAAACTAGCTTGCTTTTGGTTGCTATATTTTTGTAAAATTTTAGCTAATATAGTCTCTTGTTCTTTGCTTTTCTTATTCTTCTGAGTTAAAAGTGTTGTAGATGTTTCTTCCTTCATGCCTTAGCAAATCTGGTTGCCTAAGTATATCTTGGAAAGAAATAATTTTTGCAGTATACTCATTTAGGCAGATCTGATACCATTATAATGGTTTTTATAAACTTTTTTGGACTTTCTTACCATTATAGGGGGTGTTTAGTAGGGTAGGTTTTTCATGGATTAGTTGGTGCTGGAACATGCCACACCTATTGGATAAGTTTGTTTGAGTTTGTTTGTTTGTTTTTTGCATTCTGAGACCATCCACATATGATTTTAACAAACAAAATATTATCCATTTCTGTCTGGAAAAATGTTGTTGTTCCATCCATTTAACTGTGGATTGGACAACTATATATATGTCTGTATATATGATATGACTAAAGTGTCCTCTTAGAAATTAGGATGGACAATAACAAGCTGCACCACATTACTGAACACCTCATAGAGTTTGGTCTGGTTCAAACCATGTTGATTTCAACAACACCACAGTAGGGTCTAGGAGGTTCAACCAGAACACACCTTCAGGAAACCATGGTACTGAACACTGCTATGATATGAAGAAATGCAGGTTTTTTTTTTTTTTAAAATTGCAGAGATGGTGTGATTTGTTGGTCTTTTTTGCCTTAACAGCAATCCGAGGACCCATATTTGTTAGGCTAGCTGTAGCTACCCAACCCATTGTTTTTTTTTTTTTTTATTGATCAATAACAGAAACTTTTATTAATAAAAGGAGATGGAAAAGATACAACAAGAAGGGGGGTAAAATCTCTTACCCCACCCTAAAAATAAAACATCACATTACAATACAGCCCAAAAGAAACTAGTTCTTCCCACCCCTTGTTTAGCTAGATAATCTGCAAAAGAATTGRMASTYCTCTTGGACCACTGAAACTGAATTTGCATGTCTTGAGTGAGCTGGTAAGTTCTCTTTTTTTCATTCGAGAACTTCCATAAACTAGCCTCTTCCTTCTGCATCCAGTTAATAGCCAGTTTCGAATCACCCTCCACCAGCAGCTTCCTAATATTCAGCTGTTTGGCTCTTTTTATTCTTTCTAATACTGCTGAAATTTCAGCTCTCAGAGAATCCCCCCAACCTATAGGCCCTGAAAACATGGCCATAATTCGACCTTCTTCATCCCTGAACACTCCTCCTATACCTGAAGGGCCTGGGTTTCCTTCACTGCTGCCATCAAAATTCAATTAGTGAACCCCATAGTTGGAGGAGACCAAGTTAGAACAGGGGCATTAATCAACCGAGCAGACCGGACAACTTCTTTCCATTTTCTAATGATATCTCCTGCTGAGAAGCCTTCAAAAAGCTTCATAGACTTGGCCCAATGAACCACCCTAATGTAGATTAAATCAATGCTGGCTTCTTTGTTCTTTTCTTTTTCCTGGAAAGTTTGTTGATTTCTTTCTTCCCACACTGTCCAGCATACAGCTGCTCTTACACATGTCCACAAGATCTTACCTCTCTTTTTTAAACCCCTCACTGGAGCAGAGTTAAACAAGCTTTGCACACTTGGGGGAGTGGGCCACCTACAACCAAAAAGAGAGAAAAACCAACACCAGATTTCTGAAACAAAAAGACAGGAAACAAATAAGTGATAACAACTCTCACCATTCTTCTTACATATAAGATACACCAGTGCGGGGATAAACACCATCTTGGCCTTTTCTTTTGATGTCACAAGTGTTACACTTTACTAGGATAGCTTCCCAGCATAAAGCACCTACTCTGGGAGGAATTGGTCTACCCCAAACTTTTGGAACCGGGAAAGGAAAATCAAGGGCCGAATGGGAATGGGTTAATTCCTTGAAAAAAGAAGAGCATGAAAAAATACCCGAGGGAGTAGGAGCCCAAATCCTACTGTCCAATCTAGAGGGGTCAACAACTACCTCCTCCAGAATCTTAATCAAATTAGATATGGAATCCAATTCAGAGTCTCTAAGAGGCCTTTGAAAGCCCATGTTCCAAACAAGGCCAGAATTAGAAAAGGTTAGGAAAGTAGCAATAGGTTCATTTTTAAACCTTGAGAGAGAGAACAAAGAAGGAAACTGCTCTTTCAGAGGTGTGTTACCCACCCAGATATGTTCCCAAAATCTTACAGAATTACCAGAGCAAAGGTCATACCTGATAAAAGGAAGGAAGGATGGAAGAATAGCATAAATAGACTTCTAGGGAGAAACTCTTGTAGCCCTAGATGAAACACTCGTTTCCCAGCCGTCTGCCTCTTGCCCATGAATACTTAGGACTATTTTAGCCCACATATTATCCTTTTCCTTTGTCAGTCTCCATAACCATTTTCCCAACAGGGCTTCATTCTTCTTCTGCAAGTTACCCAAGCCAAGACCACCATCCTTTTTGGCTCTATTTACCAGATCCCACCTAACTCTATGATCCCTTTTCTCCTCCCCAGGTTCTCATAGGAAAGCTCTCATGAGTTTCTCCAACACCCTACACACTCCCTCTGGAATTTTAAACACAGACAGAAAGTAGATCGGGAGGTTCGCCAAGGTTGCTTTAATCAAAGTTATCCTACCACCCAAAGATAGGTAGTTTTTCTTCCACGAAACTAGCCTTTTTGTGAATTTTTCAATCATTGGATTCCAAAAGTCTCTTCTGCTAGGATTATCCCCTAAATGAAGTCCCAAATATTTCAGTGGCCATTATGCAATCTTGCATCCCAATATTTGGGCCCTTTCTTCCACCTCTCCGGCCCTCATATTAATACCAATCACACAACTCTTATCAAAGTTGACTTTGAGGTTGGTCACATGTTCAAAGACATTAATCACCCGTTTTAAGTTTCTAACCCACCTAATCTCATCCCCTCCACAAAACAGAATTGTGTCATCCGCAAACTGTAAATGAGTGATGACCCTTTGGAATAATTATTAAAGAAATATGGTTATGGTTATGGTACCTAGGGAACTAGCTTAGGATCTATGTTTTTAACATAAAAAAATCATCGCCTAGGCGACAAGGTGCCCCCCAGTTGCCTAGCCTCGCCTTGGAGCCTTGAAAACTATGCCATAGAGCTTCCATCAAATTTTCATTTTACTTTGTCAATCTCTGGTGGTTTCCACTAACTCTTAGGATTTCTGTGTCCACTCAACTCCTGGGTTTGACCTCCCTCATTGCATGATCCTTGACTGTTATCCCTCAACCAACCCGCTAGTACCTTGAATCCCCTTCCACTACMATATTCCTGAAATCATGAGCTGTTCCCAATTCTAATCCTTGTAGTACAGCATAGATCAGCTCTCTCACACCTTTGGGCCCTGAAAATATGGTTAGAGTGGCTCCATATCTATTTCTAAAGATTCCTATACCAGAATTGCCAGGGCTTCCCATGCAACCAATGCTTAATTTAACTTGGTTCAAAGCTGGTGCGCACTGTCCTCCACTCCTTAACTCTTGAAATTTTCTTATAAATGCTATGCAATGAATGAAAACAAATATTTGAGTATTTCAGATTATGTAAAGAGTGATTGTTCTGAAAATCATAATTGTATTGTAAATCATTTAGAATATTGAATTAAATCAATTGCCATTTCTATAAACTTGTCAAAATAAAAAAAAACAAATATCTTCTAACAACATCACATAGAGGAAGCTAGACCTTTGGCTGCAACATCACATGGTATTGGTACCAGCAATATCAGGCTATAGCTATTGAGGGGATGTAGGGGCTCTGTATTTTTTTATCTATTATTGTTCAACTAGTGGGGTTTGGTCTTACTTGCTGCTTTGTACTTTTATATTAGTTATTAAAAAGAATCCTCTTTCATCCTGTTATCAATAGGGAAAAAGAAAGAAACCTAAAAAGTAAAAATCTTCTTTGCCAGATTTGATTTTTTTTCCAAAGCTTTCTTTCAATGAGGGTTGTTTACCTTTAATATTCGTTCATTTCCGCTGAGTTTCATATGGCCACCAAGGCTGCATTTGGTTGCAGTGCAAGTTTATTTGCACTGATGCAAAACTATATGGTAGTGCAAATGATTTGGGTGCAATTTCTGATTTGTTTTTCTTTAAAAATTTACCCTTATTTTGTTTGATTTCAGTACAAATGAAGTAAAATAAGACCTGAAGCAGAATAAAGTAAAACCCAAAACAAAATTAAACCCGAATTTGCATTCCCGTGCATTTGCACTAGTGCAAATAAAATTGCACTGCAACCAAACTTGGCCTAAAGCATTTAGAGCAGCGATTCAATCTGATTTGATCCAATATGGATTATGACCATTGTCTGATCTGGGCAAACCAGTGGAATTAGATTTTTATTTCTTGTCATACTTGATATTTCCACACCCACACCCATATCCATATACTATTCTCCCAAACAGAACCCTAAATATTAGAATCTATGCTTCCTATTGAAGCCGTTGTTTTTGTTTCAACACCCTGCTTGCCCCCAACCCTAGTAGAAATCTGCTGAATTAAAAAATATGAAAGAAAAGTAGTTTCTTGAAGAGAGAAGGRAGAGAGAAGGAGAAGAAGAGAAGTTGAAAAGAAAAGAGAGCAATAATCTGGCCGCCCCCTTATGTGAGTCAAAATTTTATTTATACTAAGAATAATAGAACAGTACAAAGACAACTATGCCCTTATAGGGCGGCCAAA